TGGGCCCAAAAGATTAAAACACAAACATATATACAATTAAAACGCCTAAAAACAGCAGTTCACTGGTTCGGTTAACGTTCTTGCACTGTTGCATTTCGGGCAGATAGTTTTAAATGTTCTTGGATTATCACATTCGTACGCTTTCTCCAACGCGGCAAAATAATATCTTTGCATTACTGACTTAAACGTGCCCAGGTTTTCCATGCTTAAGTCTAACGTGTCCGTTAAAGTGTTCCAAGTTCTGATTGTTCTAATCCAAAAAGATTTTTGGAAAGTCGTTGTTGTGCATTGCGGTACTTCGTACTTCGCTGTATTGGTGTTGTTAGAAGCTCTTGTGTTCAGTCTCGTTTTCTTACGTAAAACAAAGGACGAGTTTGTTAAGCCCTGGATTACTTTGAAAAAGTACACCATATCAAGATACTTGTGCCAATAGCATATTGGAAGTAGTTGGAGAGCCTGCAGTCTGGATGTATAGTCAACAGAACAAGTAAATGGCAGGTTAAGGATGTATTTCGTCGCACGTCGTTGAGTTCTTTCTACTTTCGTCAGTAATTCAACCGGCTGAGGTGTCCATACTTGGGTCGTGTAACCGAGATGTGAACGTACGAGAGCTAGGTAGATGGTTCGCCTTGTTGTTGTGTTGTAGATTGTCCGTGTGTTTCTCCTAATGTAACTTAGCTCTTTGTTTGCGCGAGCACACTGTTGGTTCACTTGTTTGTTCCATCTTAAGTCGGTGGATATCCAGACACCAAGGTCACGCTCATTTTTGGTAGATGTTAACTGACAATCTTTCATTGTGTAGCTGGTAGTGATCGATGCAAAATGTGCTTGATACCATTATGTACGAGCTGACATACATATCTGAAAGGATTTCAACAAGTATCGGTGATAAACAGCCGAGTGAAGTGGAGAATTTGGCCAAATACGTCCATTTGCATGGGGTAGGTACATTTCAAATCGTTATTTCGGTCACAAAATATTAACTATTTTACATCAAAACAGTGCTAATGTACTTAAATAAGTACCAATTATATCTTTATAAAAAAGATTTCGGAAAAAATTTAGTGTTGGTCCACTGCTGTTTATCTGAAGTTGTAAGCCACAAATTGACGTTTGACCATGAGTGTTGCCATGTCATTTTCTTGTGAAATATGAGTGCTAGGCATTTAACACTTACCAATGACCACCCATAAAAACACCATCTCTTGACCATGCATATAAGCACCTCAGAATAGCCAAAGCTTTTATGGCTTGGTAGCTAGCACAATGCCGAAAGCGTCGTTTTTGGGTGTGGTCAGTTTCGGACGTTTCGTCCCGGATTGGGGTTCGGGAAGCGTTACCATGTTGACCGTCATGTCAAGTTTATCTGTCCTAAATGAAATGCATACAAACTCATATACAGGTACTATACTACTACTGTTTATCTGAAGTTGTAAGCCACAAATTGACCATGAGTGTTGCATGGCCATTGTTTGACCATGAGTGTTGTATGGCCATTTCTTGTGAAGGATGACTGCTGGGCACTTCACACTTACCATAACCGCCATAGGGAGCAGAGAATAATTATAAACTGAATAGCCAATCAGATCTCTCCTTTAGAACATCAAGCCCAGAGCCTTTTTTCTCCACGAGTTACCGAGTGAGATAAAGACTCTGGGGACGAGAATGTACACATCGTACGAAAATAACGAAAATTACGAAATATAAATCTGCATTTCGGTCGTAAAATTCACAGGTTTAGCAACAGATTAAGAAGATTTCTTTTGCTAGATAGTGAGACCATATCCCTCCTGTGTTTTATGCTTAATATGCTATGTTTCTGTTGAAATTTAAGCGAATTATGGCTAATTGCCTTTTTGTATGACTTCCGAGATCCAGCATCTCACAACAAAGGGTGTTAATTCTTCGCTGGTTTGATCATTCCTGAATGAATGGATCTTACTCCCATAAAAACTACCAGTGAACACGACGCTAATGTTTAAAAACTGCCAGCGAATATTCCGCCGATGTTTAAAAACTTTACAAAGAAAAACGACGACAGTTTCCGTATCTTACATATAATTATCTTATAGCTCTGGGTTAACAAAAAATAAGGTATTTTGGAAAATAGTTGCAAACATTTTAAGCACTGAGGAATGCCATGAGTATAACATAATATACGCTTGATACTTACTATACTGTTGCATAGACAATATATACACCGTTATTGTAATTTGTGTATTACTAAAATCACATAGAAAATATATACACTACTGTTATTGTAATTTGTGTTAATTCTTCACTGTTTTGTTATTGTTAAGAAAGTTAATTTCCTGATGTCACAGCATGAATTGTTATTTTACAATCCGTACATGTATATAAACACAAGTAGTAATATAGAGGCCGTTCAACCCCCTTTTGCAGGGGGCCGCAAGGAGGCCGCATCATTATATATACAAGTAATTACTATGCAAGGGGGCCGCATCATTATATATGCATGTAATTACTATGCAAGGGGTCCGCATCATTATATATGCAGGTAATTAAGGGGGCCGTATCATTATATATGCAGGTAATTAAGGGTTCCGCACAAATGAGGGTGCGTAGTGACGTCACTCATTAACACACGTCATAATTATATGCAATGACGTCACGCGGGCGAGCTTAAACACGATCGGGCGAAACTTGCTGACTACGCATTTTTAGCGTCCCACACGTGTGTTGAATAGTTTGTGTCCCTCGCATGGCAAAATTGTTATCGAAATTAATATATAGCAGAGTTATAGCCGTATCTTTGCTCGGAAGAGATAAATTTCCACAGGTATATTGAAGGATTTTTTGTATGTTCCATAGCGAGGAATCTATTCGTCACAAAAATCAAGACATATTAAACTAAACAGTTCCTAATCCCGAGTTGTCAACGTCGTTGTTATGGTCAATATTTGCATGTTGTTCAAGATTATTTAGCAATCCTCCTACATACATATATACTGTTAAGATGATCATAAGAAAACTTCTCAAGAGTAGAAGTTTGAATTAGAACAGTTGTAATATTTTTTGACACTATCGTCTGTTATTTGTATCAATAAACATGTTTTATACTTTGCAAATGTTGCGTTGTTATGCGTTGCTAAGTCATTAGGAGGCGTGTAGGTAATTAAGGGGATTAAGGTAATACGAATTTGCATAACTAAGTGTATCCCGATGGATAGATAGGGATTATTTTTTAACGCAGGTGTATACCTTAAAATCAGGCGCGTGGCTTTGCGGGTACATGCATATATTAAAGTACAACATATTTGTACACGGATCTTTTCGCGCGGGCGGAAAGAGCGGGCTTTGGCGGCAAAAAATTACACAATATTTCAGTTTTTAAACACATTTATTTCTTCAAAACGTTATACAAAATTTAGTACGGTCTACTTCTAAGAGCGTAACGTCTAGGTGTTTTTGTTATTTTTAAAGAGTTCTCATATTCTTGTCTATCTTCTGGGGATAACTTTGCAAGTTTTTCCGGCTTCATTGGAATATATTTCGGTCTATCGCTCAATATAAAACGTTCATAATCCTCTCTTGCTTCCGGAGACATTCGCGCTAGGTCACGTTCGGTCCAATCTGCTGGGTCTTTTATTTGTCCATTTTTGGTGTGAACTCCAATCCACCCGTCTTGGTGTTAGACGTACCATACGAACATAGCTCGCAGAAACCAATGACATGCGAAAACAGTAGAGGTGACTGTTCATCACATATCATACATTGAGCGTCTTTGCCCCAGTAGAAATCTTTCCACGAACATCTTGGGCACTTCATTAAGTATACAATGTGACCAGTCTCTTCTCCACAATGGTTACAAGCTAGTTTCTCGGGCTCACCATCATCCTCATCATCATCCTCATTATCATCATATTCGCTTTCATTATCACCTTTGTCAGATTCCCTGTTCTCTTCACCAGATTCGCTTTCAACATCACTCTCAGATTGTGGCATTTCATGTTCCTCCTTTGCCATTTTTGACAATAAATACTCATTTTTAATCAAATCTTTATTAACCCCTGCTTCTACTAGGCCTTTTGTAAACAGGTCGAGACCTCGTGGTTCAGGAATGTGAGAGTTGTATGGTAAAAGTGCGTATTGTAAAAAGTTCTCGATGTTAGTACCAGGAATGTCTCTTCCATGATAAACAATCTCACCCTGAGGATTCCAAGTTAAAATATCACTTGATATAAGAATAGAATGTAGCATTTTTTCTGCTGTAGTTTTTTTGACATTATTGTTCAGATACAAAAGTATATCTTCAATGCGCCAATGTCGCGGAGATGTTTTACTCTCGATGTTCATTGTTGAAATGATGTATAATTTGTAGTCACAGGGCTTTTATACAAGTTCAGCCAGGCTTTCCAAAATAGGACTTAGTAATAGTCCAAGGAAACCTTCACCATGCTGAATGAGTATCCGTTTATTTCTTCTTCCACATTTTCCTCTATCTACCAACCTAAGCATTTCATGTCTGTAAGGTCGGAGTTTCTTCATTACATGCTTCGACATTAAATATTTTCTTTTCATAACGTTTTCTACACAGAGACACAGGCAGTGTACTTGCCCGGCGGTTGCTGTTTCCAGTAGTGCTTGTTGTTGATCAGGCTCAGACGTGCCCAACAATTCAAGAAATGGCTTGTGCCTTAGAAGATTGATCATTTCTGTTCGACGGTTTGGAAGCAAATGAGTAAAACACAACAATAAGGAAGCTTATATCGGAAGAGAGAAGCAATTTTGACAAGGCTCCGAGCCTAAGTAGCTCGGAGCTGGCTCCGAGCCTTAGGAGCTGCTCCGAGCCTAAGGAGCTGGCTCCGAGCCTAAGGAGCTGGCTCCGAGCCTAAGGAGCTCCGAGCCTAAGGAGCTTGGGTCCGAGACTAGGGAATTGGCTACGAGATACTAGTTATATAAACTCGGTTTCTATTTGAGAGATTTATTATCTAACTATTCGTCATAGAGTAAACATCTCTCATTCATGTCATATCTGTGGGAAATATTTCTCTAAACCGTTCAATTTAAATCGACACAAACAAAAAGTGCATGATCAAAAACCAACCGTCAACATTCACATAACGACTAATGGATCTGCAGTTTTGCAACACCCATTTACGTGCATCGTAGCTGGGTGTACCCAAAGCGGCAAAACTGTATGGGTAAAATCTCTCTTGGAGAATGCACAGAAAACTATAAGTCCTGCTCCTCAACGTATCATTTGGTGTTATGGTCAATGGCAACCCTCCTATTTTGATATGATGAGAACGATGCCTGGAATCGAGTTTAATCAAGGCATCCCCGAAGACATCGACAACGCAGATTACTTGGACGTATCGCAACGGAATTTGGTCGTATTGGACGACCTTATGGCTCAATCTGGCAAAGATAAACGTATTTCTGATCTTTTTACGAAAGGAAGTCATCATCGGAATTTATCTATCATCTATATTGTTCAAAATATATTCCATCAAGGCAAAGAAATGAGAAATATCAGTCTAAACGCCCATTATATTGTGCTGTTCAAGTCACCAAGAGATAAACAGCAAATTTCTATGCTTGCAAGGCAAGTAGATCCTGGAAGAGTACAAGAATTTATGAGGAGTTATGAAGATGCTACGAGCCGACCTCACGGGTATACGTATTTGATGTTGGATTTAAAGCCAACAACAGATGATCAACAACGACTCAAGACAAACGTACTTCCCGGTGAGATTGCAAAGTTTATACAAAAACAGTCGTATCGTCAACCACCACTTGTAAATGCCATGTATGATGCCGAGCAGCGAATGAAAGAAATCATGGATGCACCACAGCTAAGCGCAGTGGAAAAAAGCAAATTATACTCTGATCAACTAAATCGGTTTCTCACATTCAAAAATAAGATGGATGTTCCGACTCAAGCTCCTGTTCAGACAACTCCACTAGTGCCTGCAGAAATACCACAACCCAATGAATTAGTTGAGATAGCACCACCAGTGCCTGCTACCCCTAAACCTAATTTCCTTACACCACCACCAACAGAAGAGGAAAGGCCAAAACTCAAGCGCAATTTTTTTCACAATTGGGTCGACCCAGCAGATTGGACCGAACGTGACCTAGCGCGAATGACTCCGGAAGCAAGAGAGGATTATGAACGTTTTATATTGAGCGACCGACCAAAATATATTTCAATGAAGCCGGAAAAACTTGCAAAGTTATCCCCAGAAGATAGACAAGAATATGAGAACTCTTTAAAAATAACAAAAACACCTAGACGTTACGCTCTTAGAAGTAGACCTTACTAAATTTTGTAAAACATTTTGAAGAAATAAATTTAAAAACTAAAATATTGTGCAAATGTTTGCCCGCAAAGGCCGCTCTTTCCGCCCGCGCGAAAAGATCCGTGTACAAATATGTTGTACTTTAATATATGCATGCACCCACAAAGCCACGCGCGTGATTTTAAGGTATACACCGGCGTTAAAAATAATCCCTATCTATCCATCGGAATACACTTAGTTATGCAAATTCGTATTACCTTAATCCCCTTAATTACCTACACGCCTCCTAATGAGTTAGTAACGCATAACAACGCAGCAAAGTTTAAAACATGTTTCTTGATACAAATAATAGAGAAAAAATATTACAACTAAGACTGTTAAATTGTTCTACAGGTTTTTTCCTTCAAGTATTCTATCTGACTCGGTCATCTTGACCGTATATATATATATGTATGTAGGTTTGCTAAATAATGTTGAACAACATGCAAATAGCGATCATAACAACGGCTTTGACAACCCGGGATTAGCAACTGCTTATTTCTGTTGCGATATTTTCTATTTCTGTTTGGAAACTTATTGCTCAAAACGAGCCATCAAAATTAAAACGAATTTCAATTGCGTGTTGAAAATAAGAGAGAGACTCACAACGTTGCTACGTGGTTGTAAGGCAAAAATTTTTCTACCGTACCGGGTTCGAACCGGAGGATATCAGTATCTTAGGATATCAGTATCTTAGGATATCAGTATCTTAGGATATCAATATCTTAGGATATCATCCAGTATCTTAGGATATGAATTGAATTTTTTGAATTGAATTGAATATCTTAGGATATCAGTATCTTAGGATATCAGTATCTTAGGATATCAATATCTTAGGATATCATCCAGTATCTTAGGATATCAGTACCTTAGGATATCAGTATCTTAGGATATCAATATCTCTGCCCGCGTTAATTGGTCGCGCTACCTGTCACAGTTGGCCCAGGCCTGTCCGCGTTAATTGGTCGCGCTACCTGGCCCAGGGTTAGGGTTAGGGCCAGCAAAGTTACGTCACATATTTTGCATACTAATTACTTTCGGAGATTTTGCATACTAATTACTTCCGTTGCCCAAGTGGGGGGCTTTACTACT